ATATAAATCATCTTTAATAGCTTTATGTGTTTTTAATTTTTCTAATAAAGAATTCATTGAGTCAATCATTTCTTTTATTGATATATCTAATGTTTTTTCATTTGTTTCATTATTGATATTAATTAGAACTTCATAATCTTCGGATCTTGTTAAATATCGATCAGCTTTTGTTTCGAAATCGGCAATGTTGCCTGCATAGAATGTATTCATATTATTAGCAGTTCTTCGTAGAATAAGATTATTTTTCTTTAAAGAATATTGAATTGATTGAATTAAGTTCTTTTCATAGAGAGCACGTTGATAAAGATTCGATGGTATTGACTTGGAAAAAAGATTTTTAAATTCATTATAAGTTTTATCGTGAATTTCCATTCGTAAAGGTAAATTAATATTATATTTTTCAAAAGGATTCATTAATTGATGTTTTAATGGTGCAAATTGTTTTTTGACAATGTCATCCATAGATTCATTTGAAAATAAGATATACATTAAACATGGTGGTACATAACTTGGTCCACGACTTAATAATTGTAATTGTTTATCCGAGAATTGATGTGTTGTATCAATAATAATTGAAGATGAAGCTTCAATCATTTCCATTGTTTGTTCAATTTCATTCATATTTATATAATTTAATTCATCATAAGAATTTCGAAGAAAATAATCAATTCTATAATTATAAACGTCTCTCCAACGATTAGTAATATTATTGAGACGTTGTTCAAGTATATTAATTAATATTGTACTCATTCCTTGATCTTTAACAAGATTACGATGATTTTGCCACATTTTAGATAATTCCTAATCGAATAGATTTTGAAATCGATAATAAGTCTGTTTAGCTTCTAATATATTTATAGCTAATAAATCAAGTTTCTTATATCGAATTTGTTTTTCATATTGACTCAATAATTTTTGTTGCACGCTGCCCTTTTTAATAGTAGTATCATTGAAAGTTGGCATTGATATTTGAATAAAATCGAATGATATACATGATTTATTGAAGATGACACCTTGTTTCAATTCGAGTAATGCTCGTTTTAATTTTTCTAAGTCGCGTCTCATATTAACAAGACGTTTAGCAACTTCCATCTATATGACAACAATAAAAAATGAAACATATGAAATTTTTGAAACAATTTCAGAGAAAATATTCTTTTCTTACTTGATATTGATTTGGACTTTCGTGTGAATATTTTCGTTCAAGTATTTCTGTTTGATAATTATACATAATGATTGCTTTTTTCAATTGATGTTTTATTTCATGTGGTTTAATTCCATATTCTTGTACATAGATTTCTAGAGCTTGATCCATGTCGAATTGAAATTCAAGTAAAGAATTCTTCTTTTGAATTAATTCTCCATGAGAAAGATCAATTTCTAAATTTATTTCTTCTAAACATTCACGAAGTAGATCTTCACAAGCAGTTTGTTGATCATCTTGATTTGTTTCGGTTGTCATCTTTGATTTAGCTTTTTTTTGTTAACACAAGTGATTGAACTTGCATTGGCCAAACTCGTCGATCGACTTCTATTACATCATATTCTGGTTCCATTAATGTACCTGTTACTGATTGTAAATATATAGTTGTAATCTCTCTTTTTAAACGAAAAGTAGCAACTTGATGCATTAATAAAGCCAATTTTTCTATATCATTCATACTAATAGATTGAACATCTTTTATTATATTTTTTATTATACGAAGAAATGTTTTATTATTGATTGATAAATAGTTTGATATTTGATTTTGTATCGTATGGTTATCATTAAGATCATTATCTTCATCACTGTCATTTTTCAGACATTTTCATTTTCTTAGAATTTAGATTTGGACTAGCTACAATATTTAAACGTCGTTTTTTATCACTAGTATTGGATGAATTGATTTCATGTTGATCTGTTGTTGATAATTGACTTAATTTTTGTGATAAAATGGTTTCATCATCTTGTTGTTCTTCTTCTTGGATCAACTAAATAATGGAACGAAAAAAAATAGCAATAGCTTTTAATACAAATGTAAAAATAGTATTACTTCAACACAATCCGAATCATTCAAAATATCATATTGAATAATTTCCTCTTCATATATCATTGATTTTAATTGACCAGTTAGAAAATATTGATTTAATACGTCTGTTGAAAATTGAAGTCCATCATTTGTTTCATCAATAGTATCAAACATATCATCGAATGGTTTACTATTATTCGATAAATTATTGACTGTTGACTTTGATTCTTGGTTTGTATTAGCCATGGAAAGATCAAAAACAAAAAAAAAGGAAATAAATTTCTTATATCTGAAATAAATGAGAAAAAGTTAGAAACAAAAAATTTTATATGTATAAATCAAGTGTAATACGAGATACAACAGTGTCTATAGGCTTCTATTTATATACTTTCAAAGAATAAATAAAGAAACAAGCTATACTGAATAATTCTTCGTTTTTTTTTTTTCTCACAATATCCTACAAAGAAAATCAATAGAAACGTTCTAGTCTATTACTATACAAAAAACACTAATGAAATGTTTATTATTCAGTTAGATCAAGAAAATATTTGAGTGGCAATGGTCGTGTTGTACGTTTTATGTATTCTTTAATGAGTTGTCGTAATTAAGTAATAAATTGATCATCCAAAGATCTATCTTGTTTTTCATTTTTTACTAATGATTGTACCGACTGGTCGATTTTTGGCTGTAATGTTTGTTGCTGTACTTATTGTTGGTCCATCTAGAATAGATAATAACACCAAATATGTTTATAGAAACTTGAATAGAATAATTACTTGTGTCGGAATATTTGCTGATTTTCTGTGTAAAATTTCAGACCATCTGGGATTATTGGCTATAACAAGACAATATTGTTGACACTTAAAATCAGCTATATATGTCGTTGGTGTTGTCTTTGCCGTCGAAGATTTTTCTTGTTGAGTAAAACCAGATGCTTCTATAGGTTCAGTTTTACACACATTATTATCATTAGTCTTATCAGCTTGTAATGAATTTTCATCGAATAAATTCATAAGAATTGTATGCAAATCTTTCATATCGAATTCCATAATTGAATGTTTATCGTCGAACGATGAGTATAATCTACAAAAAAAAAGAAAACATTTTTAGTACAAAAACGAAATAAAGAATCTATTAACAATATATATAATGAAGTCTCATGAAATTTCATATTTTACTTTGAATGCCTAATATCAGTTTACATATGATTGTATACTGGAAAAGTAATAAACACACAACGAGAAGAACAATAGACAAAAAAAAAAAAAGAAGAAGCATGTAGAACATAAGTATTGGTGGAATGACTATCGCTGTTGATCCATGTTTGAAAAATCAAAAACCAAACTAATTGGATATGATCTTCGAGTTCGTTGAAGATAAGCTCGAATAGATTCTTCTAATTCGAATCGTAATGTGTTATATAGTATGGTTTCATGTTCTGTAGTATGAGCCATTCCAAAATGAACTGCTTGATTCGGTATCAATATACCACCTCGCAAGCGTTGTTGCCATTCCTAGAATATGACAGTAGAAATGTTGATAAAGATTATTGCTCATTACCTGATTTGGTGACTGTTGAAAATCTTGTGTACGTTGTAGTAAGTTTGGATAATTTGTTATTGCAATAACGAAATGTTGATTTCGTCTTGTTATTGTTGATTGAATATTAAATTCTGATGCATTTGAAGTAGAACCCATTATAAATCAGTGATAATCTACAAGAAATAAATTCAAATAGATATAATTCTAGGAGAAAGTTTTTGATTTGTTGTCTATTTCTTTTGAATTAGACAACATCTCATAAATTATATCACAATGCATGTCAATGTATTCTAATAATGCATACAAAAAACATAGAAAAATGAAAAAGAAAATACAAAATATAAAAACGATTGTTTTTAGATCGAACAATGCTGAACACAATTGTATTTCATAGATCCTCATATTCATGTATCCATATACTTACAGAAATATATACAAGAAAACAGTAACATATACTATTAACAAATGAAAAGAAAAACAATACCAATGAAATTATACCGATTATTCAGATTATAACTGTTCTATATTAACGTCAGACATATCAAAGACATAATGAATAGGATAGGATCGACGAGTTCTTGTAAGATAATGACTTGCTGCTTCTCTTAATTCGACTCGTAAGAGATTATTGAGTATTTGTTCACGATTATTGTTGTTATTATTATTATTATTGTTATTGCTATTTACTGTTACATTGTTTGTAGTACCATTTTGTGTTGAAACGGTAGTTGTTTATATATTTTGCTGTAATTAGAAATAATTAAAGTAAAATAGATTTATCATTATTTTCTTTTAATATGAGTTTATCAATATAATATATTCATATATGAAATCTGTTTTTTTTGAAAATTTAAATTAATATCTTTACTATACCTGTGGTTGAAATGTTCGAGTTTGTCGTAATAATTCAGGATTATTTGTAAGAATAATAGATAAATCAAACAGTAGGTATTTATTTATTTAAATAAATTTTATTTTTTATTTTAGATTGTTTACAACGATAAATCAAAAAAAGTAAGTATTTATTTATTAAAATAATTTTTATTTTTTATTTTAGATTGTTTCCAAAGATACATCAAAAAGTAGGTATTAATGTATTTAAATAATTTATATTTTTTATTTTAGATTATTTACAACGTTAAATTGAATGGGATGGCACTGATTAGTCTGACCGGATAGCCGAATTTTATTTTTATCATGCTGTTTCTATAATGTATCAGGTAACTATGATTTTTTTACCAGTTATAGTAATCGCATGGTGTCATACAAGTACTATAACTGATAAAAAAATCACATTTACCTGATACATTATAGCAACAGTATGATAACACAGACATTCAGCCATCCAATCAGACTAATCAGCTCAATATATATTAAGTATTGCAAAATAAAAAGCTAATGAGTGCAGCATAGGTGCTGCACGTAATATCTGGTTTATCTATAGAAATCTAGTAGGACCCCGTCGGATCCTGTACCTTCCAAGATCTTCCGACTATCGGATCCGACATCCGACAACTTCCGACTGGATTCCGCTACCAAGGATTCCGACAACTTCCGACACGGATCCTGTCGGAAGTTGTCGGATTCCCGTCGGAATTCATCGGATTAAGCCAGATTTCCGACAGGATCCGATGGGATCCGGGATCCGGAATACTCGTCCTGGGACGATATGAATTACATCCATAATGAAATTTTTAGCAAGATAGAAATCGAAAAATTCTTGTCTTAAAAAACGGTTTTCTAGAGATCTCATCAAATCCAAAAATAAAAATCTGTCTTATCATCATTTGAAGATTGTGAAGGGGAATTTGTACAAGCATAAATTTATTTTGAACTTCTCGTTCAGTTACAAGAGTTTTTTTCATTTGCATATTTGTACTCCATCACACCCTGAACGAAAAATAAGCTGCATTTTTTTTTAAAAGTCTAGATGTTCTCGGAAAAAACTTTGGGCAGGTATTCTGTGACTTTAAGAGCCGTCTACAGAATGTACCGTTTAGGTTTTTAAAAATTCTATCTCAATGCGCAGATTTTTGAAACTGAAACGCACGCAATGAAAATCGTTGTCCTTTTTTGCTTATCGTCTCTAATGCTATTTTTTTGCTTATAACTTTTGTGGACATTGGTCTACAGGGCTGATTTTTTCAGTGTATTTAGAGTAACTCAGCATGCATGTGACATATAAAAACTAGCTCTAGGCAAGTTCATTATTGAGAAATATACACATTTTGATTTTGCAAAATCACGTCTCTAGCAAATGAAGTGGCCTATATACATTGTAGTCATGTTATTTTGCAACGTTTTCTGTCAACACAATCATCATCATTTAAAATAAATCAAACAACTGCTCTACCTGTTAGTACAGGTTTAAGTATTGTATAAGCACCAAATAATTTTCCAGTAATTTATGTACCAAGTTTAATGCCAAAAATTAAAATGACACTTGGTTTATCAGGAGAATTACATGAACGATAAAAAGTTTTGTATCAAGCAGCGGCAGCAGTATCATATTATATGACTCATTCATCAGTTGATTTTGATGGAATACAATATGAATTTGATATGCCAGATGTTTTTTGCATCATTTGGAAGAATTATCCTTCTACATGTTTGGTATCTTTGCTTGTTCGTTATATTCAATTAGGTGAGATTTTTCTAGATTGTTGAAGTTGATTCAATATTGGTCTATCTGATCATGCAAACAATTAAATAATTGACAATAAAACTTTTATGAAATCTCAAGAGAAAATAGAATAACTACATTATGCAGTCAAATACAAATCTCATTAATAGGATTTTCTCAGAAACTGATTGTTGGCTTATTATTTCATTCAATTGATGTCATTTTTATTGACATTTTTCAATTATTAAAATTTATTTTGATAGGTCCAACTGATGTATTTCTTCGTCATCTCTTAGCACGTACAATGTGAATAGATCTTGATTTACATGCTCAACAAATTCTTTCAAGTCAGGGTGTGGGTGCATGGGAATTTAATTCATATAAACATTCACACCCACACCCGCTGGCGCGGTGGAACGGTGGACGGTGAACCGTCACCGGTGCATCGCTAGTCTAGCAAGAATTAATTATTTGCTTGCTTACTTGTCTGTCCGCACTTCACTGAGTGTTCCAAGAATAGTCTGAAAACAAAAGGGATTATTTTCCTTAAAACTTGATCGAAGGTAATCGAGGGTAGGAGTTTAAATCTGGGGTTAGCTTTAATTAATTATTAACTAATTATCAAATGAATCTTTTTGTTTAAATGAAAATGGGAAAATCTTTTAATTGTTATTTATTAATTGATTATTAATTATTGATTAACTATTAACTGATAATTAATTATTAAGATTTTCTGGAGGGTGTGGGTGTGGATGTGGGGTGTAGAGTGTGGGCTGAATGAAGA